CTCATGTACATATTCAAACAGATTTGATGCTCAGTACCTGTTGAGTATGATGAGCACTACAGAGCTGTCTGGCCTGATGAAAGCAGAGTATTCCAGGTGTGTTTCTCCACAGGCAGACACACCCACTCTCTGAGACCCCTCCCACAGGAACTTGCTGTGTGAAAAGGTGATTTGTGTTGGTCGCCTTTTCACTGCCATTCAGTGTGAACAAAGGTTATATAAGCCCCACAACAGACCATCTACTACCTGAAGTGAGCCATGCTATAGAAAGTTGGCTGCTTGTAGAAGATGTCATGCTTTGCATCCACAATAATAGGGCTGTCCACAAAGTTTTTGACCCAGTTTGGCCCACCAGTCTGGTCCAGGGCCAGGTTCCAGTCAGTCCAGCCTACCACATAATGATTTAAGTCCTGCCATGGAGAAAACACCCACTGGTTAGTATCTAGTCTGTGCTGTGTGATTTTGTTTAATCCACTGGAGTGGTGCCTGCTGTTGTGATTAAATGACACAAGGACAACACATCTACATAAACAAATCCATTGTGATTCTCAGGATGTCTGGGGTCTAAATGTACCCATGAAAAACACTGTAGATAGAGTGGAGAGTGGGGGAGAGTGAAGGCAGAAGAAACTTAACACCAGTTCCAGCTTGCTCTGGGGGCCTGCGGGCAGGTCCTGGAGAGCGAGTGCACCCAAGCGCAACTTGTAAACCTGCACTGCAGCATTGAGGCCGGTGACTCACTGTTCTATTACAACTCGCTGCTTGTCAAAACCTCACATCTGTCAGCAGATCTGACTGAACAAGAATCACACATAAGAAAAGATTATCTCACCTCTATAATGTCATGTGCATACTGTTCAGCTCTGTTCCAGCTCCCCAGCTTCACCCCTCTGTCTAGTGCGTTCCACCCAACGCAGGCCTCTGTGCCAAACAGGTAATAATCTGGGTACAGATGATGGGTGGTGCCCAGGCTTATCTCAGCTGGGACAAGACTGTCAAAGTACCAGTGGACTGCCACGCCATGAATGTACCTTCCTGCATGAACATCACTTAGAACCTGGAGGAACAAGAGAACAAAAGGCTTGAGTCAAACTTTGTTTCAAAGTCCATGCAAAAAGGGCACTATCAATCTAGTAAAGCTTCGTATGACAGTCAAACTGGTATAAAAATACATTCTTCAGTTATAGACTCACAGTGGAGTGGATAGTAGCTAACTACAGTTATTTTATACATCCCCCAAGCATCTACACACTTCTGCCTTACTTTATTGCTTCTTTCTTGTGTTGAACAGTTTTAAAACATAATATTCTTTTACTCATTTTCTTCTGTAATATGAATTTTATGCAACACCAGTGTAGCCTCGGTTATAATAAAGTTGACCGTGGCCTTTACCACTGTCTCTCTCTCTGTGGACTCACCACTTTAGCCCAGTGAGGCAGCAGTAGGCGGTTGTCATCCAGTATGAGGACGTGTGTGTGTGGGTATGATGAAGCGTGAAGGGCAGGGCCTAGGTCCAGAGCCACCCAGTCCCTCTGCTCCTCAGGAGTGAAGCCCAGAGCCTGGAAACTGCAGTGAGACAAATATACCTCTTAGTCTGCTGTGAAATTCTGAAGTTGTGATGGTGGTTAATATAGTTGCATATAAAATCAATGGTAAATTCGACTGAGGGGAGACCTGTAGTTTGTCATCTCTCCTGCAGAGGGCTCATTCCCTGTGGTCAAAGCCCAGAAGGTCAAGTTATATTTAGCATATTCCTCAAGGAACCTGAGAGGAAAGAGTCAAGCAACCATCTGAATAAATTTCCCTTACATCAAGCATTACCGACATGTGACATGCCATTAAGGTAAAGCGGCATATGTCACCTGATATAGTACTGAGCCCAGGATTTATGCACCTTGCCACCAGGCTTGCCTTTTAGGGAGCCCTTTCCTGTCAGTGCACCGTTAGTCTTCATCCAAGCGGGGGCGCTCCAGGCACTGGCCAGCAGAGACAGGGGATGAGGAGACAAGGCCTGAGCATGCTGCAGGAGAGGGATCTGAGAAGAAGGGAAGGAGGAGGAGGAGAGATGAGAGGGACACACTGATGGACAAGTGTGTGTGTATAAAAAAGAAAGAGAGAGACCTTCATATTGATGTCCTCAGGGAGAAGAGTAAAATTGTCCAGGTTGTAGTCTTCAGGTGTGTCAGCATAGGTGTACAGATGGGTGGAGAAGTCGCAGCTCGCCATGGGGACGCGCACCACACTGTAGCCGATACCTGCCAGAGACACAGCATCACAAACAACTAAGGATGGGTGATAATTCAATAGTGTCATTTAAAAACCTATAGAGAAAATATACTTTGATAATATATGCTGGAAACCTCCACAGTCCATTACGCAAACCCATGAATTAACACCTTGCATGACAACGATAATTTAGAGCTGTCAGTTGTGAAGACACATGGTGCCAAAACTAAGACAAATATAGTCTGCAGGCTATATTACTTGAAGAATTGTTATAAAGCTTGACTAAACCTCTAGTACTTGCATTAGGTCCTCCTATGTGGGTGTGGGGACTGCCAGGGGGGAATATTGATCATAAAATGTTTAGAATCAAAACAAAATGTTTATGTCCAAAATAATCATTCTGGTCAAGTTGTAATCAAATAAACTTTACTTTAACCCCTCTTCTTTAGCATTCATAAAATAAATCAATAAATGGTTAGTATCGCATTATTATTTTTCTAAGAATTACACTCACCAGCCACTTTATTAGGTACACCTGTACAATTGTATGCGGTTCAAGGCAACACTTCTGCCTTAACATCTGTGTTTATGAAGCTCAAAATGTTTCAGTTTTTGGTGAAATTGTTGTAAATGTGTAAATTCAATAATATGTTTATTATTAAGGTGGTGTTGTACTGGACTACATTATAGGTGCCCGGCCATAATAACAACTGGTGTGAGTGATGCCGGACAATGTGGATGCTTCACAGTACTCATTCCGAGGATGCTTGTATACCTGGGTATTCCTGAAAAGAACATTAACACCATGCTTTTCTGCAGCAGTACACTAGTCCTGAAGGCATTTTATTTTGATAACAGCTACCTGTGGAAACAGGTGGGCACATACTTTGGCCCATACAGTTTACCTTCACTGGAGAAGTACTGTCGTAGCAGCTGCTCCTGTGCACCAGAAGAAAGGGACATGATGTTAATGGCTGCCGCATCCGTCATAGCTCCACCAAATCCCTTGATCCTCTGGTATTTTTGGTAAGAAGTGATAGTCAACCTGAGGCCTGCAAGAGATGCACAAACAAAACAGATGCTCTGTACCTGTTCAAACACCACTGACAACCCAGCAAAAGTCCACATCACTCACCTTGCCCAGTGCTGTTCACCTGGATCTGACCCTGACCTGGCTCCAGTCTGCTGCCTGCCATGTTGCTCAGGTAGGAGGAGTACTGTCCCAGCGGAGGCAGGGTGACAGACCCAACACTGTCACAGTAGGTTGAATTACACTTACACACCACTGAGTCATGGCCAAAGCTTCTAGCCACACATTTACCACTTCCTGGGAGGGGACAACACACAAGCATGATTCTTCTATGTGACAGTGAACTGGTGAAGCACAGAAAAAGAAAGATTCAGACAACTGTAAGAGAATAAAGATAATCAGTGGTGGAAAGTAATTCAGTAATATTCCACCACATCCATTTAACCACTCTTGGTACTAGTCACCTTTCAATCAGATTACTAATATACACAGTATAATCACAATACTTTACCAAACCCTGTTGGGAAATTAACAGGCTAGTCTAATTCAAATGATAATAGTTAAATTCCATACTTATGAACATAAAATCGTCATACAAGGTAGTTAAAGTTTGCTCTAACTTTACCAGCCACAACATTAACGCGATAAACTCAATATTGCATCAATAATTATAATTCAATAATAAACATTACTACAATCTCTTTTGCTATTGGTACTTGAAATATATTGATGCTAATAGTTTTACAAGAGTAACTTTCCAATAACGTACGTATTTGTAACATTGTGGTATTTCGACTTTTACTTCAGTAAAGAATCTGTGTACGGTGTTACCTGCAGAGAGGGTCACGGCTGGGAGAAAGCCCAGGGCCATTAGCAAAAGCGATGGCAATAATGACGCCATTTTATCTGTAAACGAAGGAGATCCAGGTTAAGTTGAAATAAACGCGGGTTAAATCAGTATAAAGCAGCACTTCAACCGGTAACATACGAGTCAACAACCACCCAGCGGCTCTGTTCTTTTAGCTGACACACACATTTCGTTGTCACGTCATTCACAACACTTTACGGTCGATCGTCTCACCTCAGAGGACCCCGACAGAAACTCCAGCATGTCCTATACGTTTGAGGACACACTTAAACTTGTCCAATTTGCCATAACACAGTTTCCGAAGCAGGTTGTTTTAGCAATCCAGTGACACATTTGACAGTCATGTGACTTTGTAACATGTCACGTGAACAGGCGCAGTCCGTTACAGCGGTGTATGGACAAACATAGTCTGCGATTGATTTTTATGATCAGTTTTATGGTAGTATTAGTAACTGAGCTGGTTAAATAGATATGGCTTCGAGGAATATCTTAGTAACGTCATTAACAGCCTACTATAGACATTTTAATACATGGCTCCCTTTCTTGATTTATAGCGTTTTAATTGCAGTAGGAACGTAATTTAGTACATTTAATCAAGTAAAAGTTCCAAGTACTGTAGCTACTTTGAGTGTTTTCTTTTCATGCTACTTTACACTACTATTTCACTAGATTTCTGTGGAATATTGTAGTTTACTGCACTATATTACTTTACATGCACAGCATGTGAAATGTTTGTAAAATGTGCTTTAATTAAACGACCCAAGTATATACAAGCAGAGCCGAAATGATTATTTAATCAATCGGTAAGTCGATAGTTTAATAATAGTTAGTCATTTTCCATGCAGAAATACAGAAAATTTCATGGTTCCAGCTTCTTTGAGCTCTGGGTAATCGTGATGAGCATTTCTCATTATTTTCAGAAACAGTCGGATGACCAATTGAGAAAATAATCAGAAAATTAATCCATAAAACAAAACAGTAATCGCTAATACTGGCTATTATTAGATTATTACTCGTGCATTTATGTGTTACAGCATGAATGCACGAGTAATAATAAGATCCTTTATTGTCATTGTAACACATACAATGACATTTTAGAGTGACCTCCAGTCGGTAGAGTAATAGAAAAAAAACATAACATATGAAGTAAGACCTTATTAAAAAAGCCACTAGAAAAAAACAAAACAAAACAACAACAGACCTCTCGTGATAATCACTCACAAAAAGTTCTCTCCTGTGGATGGGAACTTGATACAGGAATTATTATTATTATTATTTTTAATAAAGCCGTTTTAATAACTACCAACAAACAGAGGCTATTTGTTCCACATTTTATTATCAAAGTAACACACATTCATCATAATTTAGGGATACACATTATGGATATGGATGTTTATGTATTTCTACAACACTGGTGCCTGTATGTGTGTTTACAATTTAAATTTCAGTGACTTCAGAGGAAGGCACAAATTCTTTCCAACATCCTTGGATTTCTATTGCTCAAAAAGATGATTTCTTTCTTCCCTTCCTCTGTTTGGCCTGTTTAGAAAAAAGAAAAAAAAAGGTCAGCAAAACAGCACCATGTACATGTTCTTAGCAAAACATTGCCATTATTATCAGTTACTCTGTGGATGCTGCAGCCAGTGGCGATCCATATAGTAGAGGCAACAGCTCTCAAACTCCTTCTCGCTGTAGTTAGACACCGACGCTGGGATGAACGGGTCCATGTAGTCAAACCCCCTCTGTTGATCAAAACAAGCCAGAAAGCATTAAAAAAAAACTGGAAATCAAACCTTTTGTCTTTGGGCGTGTTTAACAAAGAAACCCATCATCACTTTCAAGAGCATGTTCAGATATGCTACATGATCACAAACATGGTCATTCCCAAGGACCGTAGCTTACATTTGAAAAATACAAGTATGTATATTATATAGAAAGCAACACAGGCCCTGTTACTCTAATCAAATACAGATAAATATGTACAAAGAAATATATACTAAAAAGATAAGTTAAAGTCAAACCCACAATAGAAAGACAAATGATTCATGTGCAATTATACAACTGACAAATTCTATTTTGTGGAATGAATATTGTTATATGGCTCTACTTTGAGTTTTAGACTTGCCCAGCTAAGTGGAAGAGGTGGGTGAAAATGATAAATTTATCTAGTAAGAACTTGGTCTCATGACATGTCAATGTTAGATAAATACAGTTTAATACATAAAATTATAACGCACTGCAAGAACACACTGTTAACAGGTACAGCTTTTATGTGTATAAACTGAACAAAGCAGACAGGATGGGAACAGCACAGACACATTCAGGGATTCAATCTGTTCAAGTTTCTTCTCCTCTACTGTATAAAACAGCCCACTTATCAAAGAGAAAAGACCTCTGTGGACCAAGCGTGGAAATCATCCTTTGTCTGTTTCCTGGGAATAATACTAAATATCATAGACAAAAAAGAGAGATGTTCACCACAAAGCAGCAATAAAGCAGAACCATTATTCCTTGTGTGTATCACTTTACTTAATTCTGAAAAACAACTCCAGTCCCTGAGACCTGAGAATTGGAGTGGTGCTGTCTTGAGGCCAAGTCTGCCATTCCCTGATTAATGACCAAAGATAGTAAAGAGAAGGAACGACTAATCTGCTGTCAGAGCATGGGGGAAAGTGCTACAGATAATGAAGTAGAACAAAATGACTGCTGACCTCCCCCAGCAGCTCTTGAGGCAAGTAGACAGATTTTGGAGTGTAGAGAGAACCCGTCTGAGACAGAGCAGTGATGATGGCGCCACCAATCTGAGACAACAAAGTGAATGGTTAACGGGAAAAAACCCCCCCTGAAATATAACATCCTCATTAAACTGTGATGTATGCATTCACTCTGTTCCTCTCACCCAATCGTTCTGCATCAGTTTCCTCAGGTTATAAACCAGAGTGAGCTCCCCTGGATCCATCTGGTGATGAAGAGAAAGGGATGCACATCAGACTTCCTATCTGAAGAAAATTAAAGAAAAGCATGAAGACAAGTATGAGGCGTGACAGGAGTGTGAACATGTTTTCTCACAGCGCTCTTATCCTGCTTCATGATGGTAGATCTTCCCCACAGGGCATTGACACCATCCACTGCCACGGCCAGGTGGAAGTTTGACTCTGGCTGCCCGCTTTGCAGCCTCAGTTCTTTCATCACCGCTCCCACCACATCACTGCTGCACTTCACACGAGATATACCCTACAGTATAGAAAGCACAACCAAAACCTGATCACAATTTCTTATATAGAGAAAGCAAAAGGACTGACATAATAATAATAATACATAACACATCTGAGCCATGGTCAAGTGGCAGTACATGCAAAATTTCTTTCATTTTAACCCTGTAAACATCAAACTATTTTCTTCAGATTGTACAACTTAAACACTAGCAGTCAAATAACAAGTCAAATACAATATACCAGAGCTAATGTTTTCCTTATCTTACAGCAAATGGTATGCTAAACAATAACAGAGCAGGATTACTGAGTGCACAAAATGAGAAATGCATAGGCTGCACATAAATCAACTGCTCGTTTCTGCCTTTGCCAGTGTGCACCAAAAAATGCTGCGCTGATCCATCACTGAGCTCAGTTCATCAGCTGCTGATCACAACTAAGCACAAGCAATGTGAAAGATGAAACTTTAATGACCCCCGTGGGAAAATCGGTAGGGTAGAAAGAAACAACAAAATGAAATGAAAAGGTCTTGGAGGTGAGATAAACCACATTTCCACTGAGCACAAATGAACACCCAAAGGCACTGAGGGCAGGATATCCAGACTCATTTTTGCAGTGTGCGAGGACTCACCTGATCCACCAGCTGCCCTAGTGGACTCCCCTCTTCAGTGGATTCTCTCTTTGTCCACACATAACGCTGCTTTGTCTTTATCTGAAAGAGAAACGGTACAGTTTCACTGACTAGTTTTATATGGACTGATCTCTCATTTGGGTTCCTACACCAGGTTTCGAATGTTTTGCAGCCAATTGGTTACGGCACAGTATCTGGGCAGCAAACTGCATGCGCGATGTTGGCGGTTCGGATCTGGCCTCTAACATTTGTTGTATGTCTCTTCCCTGTTTCCTGCCTGCCTCTCCATAACCAACTTTGCAAAAAATAAATAAAGGTTATCTAGCCCAAAAAGAGAAACACTGTCAGATTACTTTATAATTTGACTCTTTACCTTATTACACATAAGACAGGGTTTTATATGGGTTGCATCACTCCAGCATCATGCTGTTATACTGCTACTGTGCTACACAGAAACACTGTGATTCTAAATTAAACTCTTTTCTTTTCACGGCTGTACATGTAGTTAGATTCAGGTGGTGTCATCAAACTGTTTAATTACTTTGTGTGCATAAGCATGTGACCTAACTGCTGTGAAGACAGTTAAGGCTCATTACTGCCTACACACTTGTTAATAATGTGACAAATTTTGCCTTAATTACACTATACATATTCATCTGACTAAGGTTCGTCATAAGGGCACACTATGTAAAAATGGTTACCTTTGAAAGAAACTGCTCACTGGTGATTCTGAAGTTGCGTAACCATTCTGCAGCTTGTAATGGTTGGTCAAAGCGAGAGCTGTTGTAAGATGAGGGCAGCAGCTCCTTACAGTTCTTCACCCAGAGGTGGGCTGTGTAACAACACACACACACACAAACACGATGTACAAGGGTAAGATTTTAAAACTTTCTGTACTTGTTTCTGTTACCATTCACCCACTTGCTACATGTCTCACCATCAGGAACGTGCAGCACCAGCCATCCCTGTGTATAACAGAAGTGGACTGTGTGACAAAGGGACATTGTCTTCCCAGTGCCCTTTGGCCCATCTAAACAACTTAATAAGGCCAACAATAGATTATATCAGGACCATTAACACAAGAAGACTGTGTTCTTTTTTTATGAATCTGAGTGAGACCAAGTGTTTTGAAGGATACAGAATAAATATCGCAGCGCAGGTTTGCTGAAGTCTGTTTTCTTCAGGTAGGAGATGACCTCCAGAGCTGGTTGTCTCACCATCATACATGCTTCATTAAATGTCTTCACCTAAAATTATATGTAAGGATTTATATCTATGCTAGATATTTTACTGTTTTAAACTAGTGAATAAGTTAACAACATACACCGTAGTCTGCATAAACACTCACACACAAACAAGAACCTACCCGCTGTTTAAAGCGCCAGGGAAGACCATGAGGAAACAGGGTGTTGATGTGTGCCGAGGGCAGAGTGTAATGCTGTCCGATATGTTTCTCTGTCTGACATCCCTGGAAAGAGACAGGCAGTGAGCTCACCAGCCAAACGTCATACAAATATAGAGACAACTGCTGCTACAAACACAAACTATACTGTTTGTTCACACTGTCTCTGAGCACTATGGTGAGGTTATTAGTTGTGCAAACACTGGTTAAGTCAGCTCTGCTTACTGGATCATTCTCCTGAGTTCTGAAAACTGAGAAAGGCTCAGGTTGTGACTCCACAGCCACAGCCTCCTGCTGCTGCGTACATCCACTGGTATGAAGGGACCTTACATGCGTTACCTGCAAAGGTTTCATTTTAAGATAAATAAAAACAGAACACATGGTGCTGCTGATATCAAAACATATAATTATCACATACATTCCTATCAAAATAATCAAACAATACCTTAAACTGAAGCTGAGCTCTCAGTACTCGCTTGCTTAATATTCCTTCACATGACTATTTTCCAAAAACTAAAATGACACAGTAATTTTATTTTGATATATAGTACATATGCCACACTTAGGAAAATACCTATTCAAGCTACTTTACTCGCGAACAGGTTTATTGGCAAACAGATAAATTAACCTACTTACACCAGTTAACACCACAAACATAAATTCCTACATTTCTGGCCTCATAGCTTTGTACACAAAGATGCTAAACCAGATTAAGAATATACAACTGCTGTTAATATGCTACCAGTGTTTTGTATCTGCATCTTCTAAAACATCACTTTAAACCTCCTGTTAATAGCGACATTACCGTTTGCCGTAGTCTGAAGGTCAATCTCTGAAGTGCCATGATCTGAAACGTTGAGGATGAAATTAATTAAAGTCATATTTCGGGGATCACAAACACCAAATAAGCCGATAATGCGTAAATACACATCGTTGTTCTATAACCTTGCACAAACAATAGCCAACAGCCGGCTGTGTTAGCAGGTAGCTAAAAACCCAATTCACAGGTAGCACTTGCATACGGTCCTATGTAATCACGTGAAGCCGTTTACCGTGAGTTTAGTTCATTATACGCTGAGTGAACGGGTAATGTCTACAAACGTCCAAAGTTTGGGTTAAGGAGAGAACAAACTCCAAAACTCCAGACGAAGTCAATGTGCCAGGTCTATTGTGGACATCGCCATAATGAAAAAAGACCAGGAAATGACGTAGCGGGAGCTCGATTCTGTTTAGCCAATCAGGACGAGCCAGGCGACAAGCCACCCAGTAAAATGGAGTTTGCCAGACTTTGACTCATTTCCCTGTAAAGATAATTAATGCAGGTCGACTTATGAGGTGTTTGGTAAATTAATTTGCTGTTTTAAAGCCAGGATTGGATTAACAACCGGCCAGTGAGGGCAGCTGCAGGGTTCTAGACCCCCCTGGGCTCTCAAAAGGCCCCAGGTTTGTGTACCACTTGATTATAATTTGATTAGTTTTATTTATCTTTTAATTGAAGGACAGGCACAGGCTCTATCCGTTTTAGCCTTTTATTAGGCCAAAATTTTGGCTTTTTGATTAAAGATTTATGCTGGATCAACATGTGCAAAGGTTTTCTTTCTTACGGTTGAATGTTTCTGGCATTGTGTCGTGTGTGATGTTTCAGAAAACCTGAGTCCAGCACCAGGAATCAGTGCTATGAAGTACTGGGTTGGCTTCTATATCTTGGTTAACAGGACACATAGGCTATAAACACAAAGGTGAGAAGTGAATGGATGGCAGGTTATAGGGGCAAAATCCTTTTATTTTCCCTCTGGGGCCCCAGATGCCCAAGGCCCTAACCCCAGGTTAAATATGTATCATTTTGGTGTGTGCCAATTTCTTAAACAACTTAAATGCCAAGGGCGTTAACATATGACAAATCCTGTATTACCAGTTTGTCCCGAAGCTCTGTGGTGCAGAAGGATCCCAGTCCTAGTTTTAAAAACCAATTTTAGGGGACATTGTCCTTACGTAGTGCATAGTCTTAAATAAAATTGTGTTTTTCATTTTAACTAGGCCTAATTACTCTCAGACATATTGTATATAAAGAAAACCACCAGCAGATAGTACTGTTTGTTTACTATAGGTACAATTCTTGTTCTCTTATTGGGAAATGTGGAGATTAGAGGTGTGCAAAGCACAATGCAGGCACAAGACTAATAGGGGGTGAATATCTTTGTTCCAGGTCCCTACTGTTAATCAGACCCTGCATAGACCTGTAAACAACAAGAGTGTTACTGCTTTGCTACTAAATAACACAATAAGTAACGACATTATTTTTATATTATTATGATTGATGTTTTTATTATTATTTATTTTATTTTTATGTTTATCCTAAAACATATTATGGGGTTGGGGGACAAGAGAGACTGTTGGCGGGGCCTCCTATAAGGGCCCACAGGCAGGATGTAAATAGTTTGTGATTTTGGCGGGGTGCTCTGTGTGTCTGTTGTTCTGTTGTTGCTGTGTGGTTGTGAGAGGGGAAAAAAATAAAAAAAGAGGGAAAGACAAGCTTTGTTGTCTGGCTCCTTCTTCCATCTACAGTAGCTGATGTTACACTGCTGCTGGGTCAATCCCTTTGCATGCTGGCTTATGATATTGAGAGCCTAGGTCTGCGTGCCTACACTTCCATGCCACCTGCCATCCAGGGTGAGTGAGATCAATTTGTCCAGGACCTTATTCCCCACAAGCTTAAACTGCACATGCAGGTGGCCCACCCCAGAATAGTGAGTTAAGCCCTGGAGCTTGTGGTGGAGTAGAAGACTGCTGCTGGTGCACTGAGGTGGTGATCCGTGCCTCGGCCTTGGCCACGGCAGGGGCAGCCAGCCAAGGACCAGCATGGAGGATACCTCCGGCAGGGAAACCACACCATCACCACCATGTCAGCCCAGTGAGCCACTGATTGACACTAAACAGGATGCTATCGCTGTGGAGAGCCAGGCCACTTCACCTGCCACTGACCAGTACATGTACCAAAAGGCTTAGCATCGCAAGCCCTGTTAAACTAGTACAGGGTCATGCCAGGAGGGAACCGTTAACCCTGGAGGACTCATCCATCCTCATTACAGCGCAGCTAAAGCTTGTCTGTTTCGGCTGGGCACATGGACTATATGTAGACTGTGAGCTGGATGGCACATGGTGCTGGACCCTGGGTCACACAGGGCCCACTATCTCTCTAGTCCGGTCGGGGATGCTGCCGGAGCTGTCTGGCCCAAGGCCGTGGGGTTGGAGGATGGCACTCTGTGGGGTACTGGGGACAGTTAACCTGCCAGGTAGGGGCTGTGTGGTGTTGGGGCCAGGAGAGACTGTTGGTGGGGCCTCCCATACTGCCCCAAGAGCAGAATATAAATTGTTCGGGGTTTTGTGTGTGTGTCTGTTGTTGCTGTGTGGTTGCATAAAAGAGGAAAAGACAAGCATTGTTCTCCAGCTCCTTCTTCCAGCTAGCTGACATTACAATATTTTTTAAATAGTCCTATATTATAAGTAAGCCTATGAATTGTTTTGTGTGTGTTTTTTTTAGATTTATGACATATATATAACAGGAGTATAATATTTTGTGTTTATTCTACTGCAGGAGAAGGTCAAAAACACTGCTTGTTGTTTTGGATTAATATTTTGTGTAACTGATGCATGATAAACAGCTCTCACGTCTTAACTTTTGAATAAGTAACCGGCATATTCTGCCTTTCTTTCCTCTCTCGCCACTGTGAACTATTACTTTACGTGATGCAACTTTTGAACCGCCTCCTATCAGCAACCTACTTCAGCCAAGTCGTCGCCATTTTATTAAGCGACCAAATAGCCCTCCCCGATCTCCTGTTATGAAGCGCATAAAGATCCTGTGATGTATTAACCGTTTTATCTCCTCCTTTGGCCACATGAAAATGGCCACGCAATTGCATTCCCGCATATCCACCGACCAGCCCCTCTGCTCTCAGCCTGTAGCCCGGCGCGCAAACACTGTCGTAGCCTTCAGCCCGTCGCCTGACACGTTAACAGCCTGTACGCAGACGACACCACAATCTGAGCCATTACCACAGGCGGGAGCGATGTAACTTTGCCCGAGAGGAGTGGGCAAAATAATAAGTGTAACCAGTCCGCCACCTAGCTGCGGAGACGCGCCAACAGAGATCTGTCGACTGTATGATTATGAAAACACCCGCGCCAATGTTGTTGCACAGTAGGCTCCGCGCTCTGATGGGACTGAAACTCGGTTTTAGGAGGTGTTTTAACCTCCGATGGCCTTAGTTATGTAATCAAAGCAGCATCTAATGCACCAAAAGCTGTGGATTGTTGTTGGTGCGAAGGGGAGAGCAGGACAGCAGCATCTTAACCTCTTGCTCAAACGCAGTTGGCTCTGGGACGCGTTGTCGGGTAAGTAGCCTACGTAGCTTTATAACAGATTGTCATGGCAGTCTGCATTAATGTGTGCAGGCCTGTCATCACCAGCGAGCTCAAAGCATAGTAGGTTATAGAGAATTTCCTGCATCCGCTTTGCGCTAATTTTATCCCTTGTTGCTGAGTGTGTTTCCCTCTGTTCTCCGAGCATGGCGATATTTCTTATTTCAATGTTGCTGACACAAGCAGAAGGGCTGGCAGAGGACAGATAGAAGAGAAAAAGGTGGCTGGGGACTAATCCACCTCACAAACACCACCAGCAAGCATATTTTGATGCTACGCATACGCGCCACTTCCATGTTGAGTTTCAGCGCGCAGCTGTATGTTTAGGACGCTTAAATGTGCGATTTATTTCATTATGGAGATAGGAGTGACGACAACAACAACACGTGCATGTGTGTATCATTTGTAAGTGCGACAGCATCAGGCGGATAGTGATTTTTAGAGATGCGCAAAGTCATTATGTGGAAGGAAGCTCCTGTTGACGTCCTCAGTAAACCAGTGATAGGTCGCTCGGTGCGGTAACACCCCCACTGCCCTTACTGTATCTAAATTACAGTAGCAACATCAGTTAGCCTACGCAGCTGCGACCTGGGTACACGATGTACGACAAACACACTTCTAATACACAATCTCAGGGAAGGCGTGTGTGTGTGTGTGTGTGTGTGTGTGTGTGGTGGAGGGAGACTCACGTGTGAAACTTCCCCGTATATGTGAAGTAAGGCTGCACTTACTGTGTGAGAGAGACTTCATGGTTCAGTGTTTTTGAGATGCCATCACGGCACCCTCATTTCCAGCTGGGCTGCTGTTGTCAGGCAGACCATAATAGTGTTGTACTTACTGATGATAACGCCGTCATGGGATGGCGATGATGGCTGGAAATATGTTGGGCCATTATCATGATTTAGCCGCTACCTCAGCGCAGCCGAGGGATCACACCGACTTCAATGTCAAGCCCACCTATCATCCTGCCACTGGAAATAGCTTCTGGTCCAGTCTTAGAGAGCTCTGGAGAGTGTAAAAAGCTATTGGCATGTAGTTTAAACGATGGTGAATGGGTTTGCCCTTTTAAGTTTGAAAACCTGCCACTCTTATTCACACCATGCCACACTTTACAGAACAAGACTATGACTCAAGCCTCTCCTACTGCCTGTCTGCTTTTCAGTTTGCTCTGCTTCATATGGGTCAGGCTTCTGGTGTACAAGTTCTAACAAAAGTAACTGCTGACATTTAGGAAGATCGCTGCCCAGTAGGCTCATTTTATTTCATTGTAAGGAGGTTTGGCCTTGGAAATGCATTTCCAGGACCGTTACATAACAGGAGTTACTGGAACATATGCTGATTTGAGCTCAGTATGATTCAAGGAAAGGTTTTGGGTGTGGAGGGACCAAGAGGCAGCAGAGATAGCCCACTGAGCTCTTAAATGAAAACATTATCAGAGATGCTCTCTTAAGTTTAAGGGGGCAGAGACAGATGAGCTATTTCATAAGAGGCTCTCAGGAGAGAGCTGCAAGAATGCTCAGCAGGGTGGGCTTTATTAGAAAATGGATGAGTCTCTCCTTAATGAGAGGGTATAATGAAGGAAGCATGACAAAGATGCTGCTTCCCCTCGGTACGTAAAAACCGGGCTGAACAGCGTGAGTGAGAGTGAAAGTTTTTCTAGTGAGGCAACTGTTATTTTAGGGTGTGTTACTTCTCTGTAATGTCACATTACAAGTCCATTTACAATGGGGTCAATGAAAAGCGTACTTGAGTTAAAGGAAGCAATGGGAGGAGGAGGAATTTTCACTCCTTTCCAAAAATAAGTTTTACCCTTTCCTACTGATTTATGTTACCACTACTGAAAGGGGAGGAGGGGAACGGTCAGACGGTGAATGGAAGGATTTAGGTTGTAGAGGAGGATAAGAATGAAGTAGAGGCGGAAATATGGTTCTGATTAACATGGATACTGTGTATGAGTTTGAGCATTTTACTGTGTGGTCTACAGAGAGAGAAAAAGAGAGCGAGTGGATGGGACTAATAGAGAATGCATGCAAAAGCCTTCTGCCAAACGTGTAAAGGGGAGTTTCGGAGAAAAGAAAGTACAGCAGAGGGAAGGGTGGGAGGAGAAGTGCTTGTGGGAGTAGCTGAGAACAGAAGGCGCAAAGATAGTGGGGAGAGGAGGGGAGGAGACTGGATCAAGTGTTTGAATGAGTCAGGGGCTGATTGATACACTGATTTGGGACGAGGGTTAGAACTTAAGTAAAAGTGTAGCGTGTTTGCTGTCTCTCAGAGCTGCTATTATTTACAGATTGTTTGAGAAAACTAGCTGAGGCTGTTTCTGAAGAATGTGAGTAGGTCTTTCTTCCAGCCTGTGCCGACATTCTGGGAATCGGCTGCCTTGATTGGCCCCTGGGTTTTCTGTATGATGAGATCATCTCAGTGGACACAGACTTCAGCACCTCTCTACAGCTGCCTGCAGGAAGGGGACTTCCCCTCAATTCCTGTACTGCTGATGTTCAGCATCTGAGCTCACTGAAATGACTAATCACTGCTCTCTCTCCATCTTTCTCTTTCTCTCTCTCTTTTCATTCCGTTTCTTTCTGCCTCAAACATACTCCCTCTCAGTTCAGGCCTAAAAAAGAAGAGAGAAACCTTCGCTGGATGCCCAGCAGTGCTTGGACTGTTACAGGATAGCCTTTTGTAAACCTCCTGCCCTACACCTGCATTCTGCTCTTCACCCTTGACCCCACCAACCCCTCTGGTGTCATTTTAAAGTGACATACTGGGAACCCCACAGTATTCTACTTCTCCCCCCTGACTTCTCTGATGGATCAGAGAGTGAAGGGGGGAACCCCTCCAGCCACAAACTCCGCTCTGGACCCCACCTCTGCACCTGGAGACACCGAGCACGCCCAAGTGGAAGACAAAAAGGGAAGAGGTGAGGGGGAGAATGGAGACATAGAGAAAAAGGGGGAGGAGAAAAGAGGAGCAGGGAAGAAGAGAGAGGGAGACAAAGGGGCAGTGCTGGAGTTGCTCATCGAGGGGCGATGTGGAAGCGCAGGGCAGCAGCAGCTTCAGATCTCTGGCAGGGAGGCCAGCTGCCCGGAGGGAAATGTACGACTCCGGATTGGACTCCAGGCCAAACGCACCAAGAAGCCGCCCAAGAGCTTGGAGAGCTATGTCTGCAAGCCCACCATCAGGACTTATCAGAGACAGGGCAGGGGGGCACTGTTGAGGGGCGATGGTGAAGGAGGAGCGGGCCAGCAGAGTAAAACCAGCTCCGCTCCAGAAGAAACAACCAGAGAGCAACGCTCAGGCTTGGAGGCTGTCCAGACCACATGCAAACAAACTGCATCCTCTGCTTCCTCACTGCTTGCATCATCATCATCAACACCATCGCAGTCACTGTCGACATCTCCAACATTTACCACGGCTCCCTCAGTCCCTGCCATAACCAGCCAGGGGACAAAGTCTACCAAGCAGGTGAGTTAAGGACAAGAGCAGTTTGCCTCACACACACACACACACACACAGAGATTCCCATTTGTCAGCTGCCAATATTAAACCTACTCTTTGAGAAATCTAAGGGTCACAGTGACTGTGGATATTCATACATTATTAATAGCACATACTGTTTTGGTTTTGGTTCTAGTTAACCACCAGAGAGGCTTATACGAAGCTGAACAGGCCATCTATATGCTTAGTTGTAATAAGGTCAAACTAACTATTGTCTCATTACTGAAACCTAAGCAGCGCATTTAAATAAACAGACCTATAAATAGGACAGCAGCACGGCAACCACTTGGAGCTGTTACAGACATTGGTCCATCAGTCCTTATGACGATCACCCAAGGGGAAGCTTATTGCTTTAGCTGCACAAACGCCACTCAAGCTGCAGCATACCAGAATTACAGGACAAGTACGAAATGTCAAGCCTTCTCATCTGTATTAGTGGCAATTTATAGCTACCAATAGCACAGCTTTCTCTCTCGCTTTCCATTTCTGCCAGGCCCTCTATATCTGTCCCTCTATTCTATTTTTACATCTTCCTCTTCTCTACCTGCTCCCATTTATCTTTCACTCCCCCTCTGTCCCTGTCCCACTCCCCTTCTCTCTGTTTCTCTGCCTTTGTGTTTCTCCTTTCTGTGTCAACCCCATTCCTGTTTCCATCACCTCACACTCTCCTTCTCCTCAGTATGCTCTCTTTTCTCTGCGTGATTGAGTCATTTTGTCCTCACTCTCTCTTTTAATTGGCAGACAAAAACAAAAGCATTTCAGTTAGTGTGTCTTCCTCATTGTTCTTCACTGTTGTCTAATGGATGTCACAGCTGTCTATGACAGACATTGTGTGTTTGCGTTTCCCAGGTTGCTATCAAACTGGCCGATAAGACAGAGGTGAATTCAAATGGCTCATCGGAGAGAGTGAAGAGAGAGAAGCTTCCTAGTGTCAATGGTCAGCCTGTCCCAGCAGGACACAAACCCTGCTCACCCACAACAGACCAGACAGCTTCAACTGCTCCTTCCACTCCAAGCGTTCAGATACTCTCTGTATCGGAGAACAGGAATGAAGAAAGCGCCTCCAAGAAACATAATGGTATGGTCCAGACAACAAGACAGAAGGGACTGTCGAATTGGAAAGGCTCTACTGGCATCCTAGGCACTTCCACCTCATCGAAAATCAAAGCTGGAAAACACAGCGGTTCCTCCTGTTCTTCTTCCACGGACTCTTCAACAAGACCTCCAGTACCTACCGGCTCCCTTAAAGAACTTAAGAGTAGGCCAGACTCTCCTTCCTCGCCCTCAGTCAGCCCTAAACTACAGCCCCCCTCCACTGTGGATCTCTCCTCCACCCAGTCACAAGACCAAGACCCCTTTCTGCAGCCCTCACTAGAGAAAAAGAGAGACAAAGAGAGGAAAGTGAAGAAAGAGAAACGGAAAGACAAAAATTCAAAGTCAGAGAGACTGGAATCTGAAAGAGCAAAGAGGGAGAACAGAAAGGTGGAAGGAAAAAAGAAGAAAAAGGAGAAAGGGAAGGATGGAAAGTCAAGGCATAGTAAAGAAAAGGACGAACGACATAGGATCGATGATACGTGGAGGGATGAACTAAAGACTGAAAGAGGAAGGGCTGAGAAAAAGAAGAATAAAGTTAGCCCCGACAGACAACAGACAGAGGATAATAATGCAAAATGTGGGGAAACAGCTGATAGTGTTAAACTAGATAAAACCAGCAAAACAGTAAACCCAGGCAGACCAGAAGAGAAAGACCAGGCAGATGACAGTTGCAAGCTAGTTAAACAATCCGATCCAGCAACAACAACAACAGGTGACACCAGTAAATCAAAAGAACAAGACATCTCAAGACATTCAGCTGTGCCTCTGAGCCACCCCTCTTCTTCTGCCCCTCCCTCTTTGCCCACTCCTTCTGCCCGTGCCCCTGTTTCTCCCTCTTCTTCCCCCCAAGAGCAGGACAGCCGGCCGCTCAAGAAACGTAAAACCAGAAGGCCCAGCTGGACCAAGCTGGTTCACCGGGCTCAGAGGGCAGAGAGTCAGGAAGCCCCTTCAGATTCTCAGCATAATCCTTTACTAAATTTCTCCCACAATCCCAAGGCAGCCATTCCTGCCAAGGTCACTGTTCAGCAGAGAGATGAGTCACACCCAGCTGCTCCTGGCTTCTTAAGCAGCAGCTCCCCCCCTCAATCTTCCACAACAAAACCTGCATCCCCAAAGCAGAGTCACCCCACATCAGACCTTAGCCCCTCTGCATCCAGATCCTGCCCCATAACACCTGCCCGGAAAAGAGGCCGGCCTAAATCCCACAGCTCTAGTATAGATGAACCTCCCCCTCGGCTTTCTCCAAACACTATGCCGACTGAGGTGCCTCCTTTAGGGTGTGACGGAGTTCAGAAAGCCCCTGTGCTGGAGCCAAGTCCAGTACTGCAGTGTGCTGCTCGGTCGAAATCCAGCCCCAAGAAGCGTGGCCGTCCTCCCAAACGACCCCTCCCCGAAGACCAGAGCGGAGGTGCACTGAATCACACTGATGCTACAGACAGGAGTAAAGATTTTCATCCTCCTGAGAAGGGGAACAGGCAACTAAAGATCAGGAAGCTGATTAATGAGATGAAGAAAAGAAAGAGGAGGAGACTTCACAAGGTAATGCTGTCTGGGTATGTAGGAAAGGACGCAAGGGGAGGAGCGGCAGCAGATGGTGAGACTTGTCTGAGAATGTGTAAATCGATAGAGGCTACAACATTACACACTCTCTCAGCTCTGTCCTCCTCGTTTGGGAGTAAGCTGGGCCCTCAGATTAATGTGAGCAAGAGAGGGACCATCTACATGGGCAAGAGGCGAGGACGCAAGCCTAAAGCCCAAACGGCTAACGTAAATTCAAACTTCCAGAGCTCCACTCAGCCCTCCCTGTTCACCAGTCCCTCTGAAACGTCTCTCTTCTCATCAAACCAACCACAGCCTCCACCCTCTCACCCGTTTCTCTCCCCATCTCTTACCCACTCCAGTGGGGCCCAGAGTCCTTACAGTGAGGGCAGCCTCACAGAGCCAGCATCTTCCCTACTTTTTCCTCACCCCTTCTCCCTCCCTTCCCCATCATCATCCTGTACCTCCCCACGTCCTCCCTCCTCCTCATCCCTCTCTCCGTTTGTGAAGAGGAGTTGCCCGTGTCAGGGAAGGCATCACTTCCCTTTTCACCAGTCTTCATGTAAGCTCTCCTGTCCTGCCCCCCCACTGCATCACACCCCCGGCTCTCCTGGCCACCTGAAGGAGGCCACCCCCTCCCCCAGAAGTGAGTCACACAGTGAAGAGACGCTGCCTAGTGACAGCGGAATTGGAACGGACAACAACAGTGTTTCTGAGCGTGGGGAGATGAGGGGAGTTCGAGGCATGCTCAGGTTGGGTCAGGGGTCAGGACTGATGCTCGGGGGTCAAAGACACCCCTCCTCTCTTGTGGACCATCCCTCTCCTGTCTCCTCACCCCTCTCTCACATGCCCAGACACACAAACCCCATCAGCAGCTCAGCCAGTGTGGAGCGCCACAGAGACAGACACCGGCACAAGCGGAGGGATTACAACTGTTCCTCCTCCTGTACTTGCTTGTGCCCCTGCCCAGGACACAATAAGTGCACTCATTCAGACTATTATTCTTGCCTTGGGCACAATGCACTGAAGAGACAGAAAAATAAACATAAAAAGAAGCACCAGCAGCTGCACATGCAAGATCCAGAGTTTCTGGCTGATCTAGAAGATCTGATTGGTCAATTCAGCGAGGTCCATATTGGGCGGAGAAGTTGGGTGAGGACAGGACTGGGACAGAGCTTTGATGGCGGGAGTGGGAATGCTGCAGGAGGAAGGCGCCATCACTCCACATCCCATTCTCTTCGTTCCAATATCTTCAGGATCAATCTGAATGGCTTCTACTCACCTCACCCTTCGTCTTATCCCGCTAACCCCTCCTTCTCCCCCCAGCCTTACTACCCCTGCCAACCAGTGCATTGTAACAGGAAGCCAGACCGCAGGCAGTGTGGTTGCCCATCAAAGTTCCAGGAGACTATTGAAAACATGGGCTTTTACAACAGCTATCCCCCAGCCACAACAGTTTACCACCACCTACCCAGCTCCTACCCGCTTCCAACTCCTCACCCATACACCCCCCATCAGCCCCACCATGCCCACTTCCTCCTCAACCCTGCCAGATTCCACAGGCGTAGGAGCAGGTTGCTGAGGGAGGGAGCTTTAGGAGGAGAGGTTGAGGGAGATATAGCAGGTACCAGTGGAGGAGGCCCACATCTCGGCTCAGGCTTAACATCTGGCCTCTCCTGTGGCTGTGGGAGGAGTGAACACAAACACAAACATAAACATCGTCATCGGCACTGCGAGCGAGACCTGGATGATGAGGAGGAGTTACATGAGGACGAAGGGGAAGACACTATGGAGAGAGAGGCCTTGACTAGTTCAAAGTCAAAGTCAGGGTTAATTCTGGGCCAAGGAGAAGGAGGAAGGAAAGGGGCAAAAGGAATAGGGAGCATGCGGTCAAAAGAATCACCTTGGTTATGTGAGAACGGTAACGATTCTTTTTCTTCTGCTGCTGCCGCCACATCCTCAGCAGAGAGGTACAAACACACATCTCTCACCTCACTAGGGCTGGGTTCCTCCCACCTGTCTTCATTTGGTGGAGGTTGGGGTGGCCTGGGCCAGAGCTGGATGAAATATGGGAGCTTAGGAGGAACAGGTTTTGGAAACTCCAACCCCAGCTGGAGAGGTTTTACAGGAGAGCAATGTACAGGCCAATTGGCTGCATCAGAGGGAGAGGACGAAGATGCTGAGGATGTGCAAGAGTCACAACTGTACAGGGCATCCCCGTCTCCAACACACACCAACCTATTCACATCCGCTGCCATGGCAACAGGGGGAAGGGGTCTTAGAAGTGAACTGACCAGTAGGAATCCAGGAAGTGGAAACAGGTCATGGAGGATAGATGAGCCGGCTTGGACAGAGAGGCGCGAAGCAGGTGAGGGTGCATGAATGATTTGATTAATAAATGTGTGACGGAATTGATCATTGGCATCTCTGTGCTTCTGGTTAATCTTCCACTTCCCCTCTGTGAACCTGCCAACATAAGTATGAGGCTTTGTTAGCATTAGTGCTAAAATTGGTGCACAAAGGAATGTTTCCTTTTCACTGTGTGGAAACTGTTGATAAATGCTGCAAAAATGAAAACATGGCTGCTTGAGTTGTGTGACTGCACAGTCTGATGTTATCTCATCTGCATAAATATGTAGAAATTTGACCATAATCTAGATAATATGTGAAATCTAACATCAACTGTGCCTACTTAAATACAACAATGGCAACCAAATCATGACAGCTAGCTGAGTGAATAGGTTTTATGCCAAAAAAACTCTTTCTACTTGCTCAGTATGACAGATTTTTGTATTTACACAATGTGGAGATGAGACTGTGGCACCAAGAGTTTTCTTAATATAGTGACAGCATTGCTTTTTCTCAGGTGTTGTTGAGCCAAACATCAAAGCTTGGAGGGTGTTTGAGAGGAAATCAGACTCCGTTCTTTTTATAGCCAATTTCAGTATGTGCAGGGAACGTGCCTGACACACACACACACACACACACACACACACACACACACACACAAACACAAACCACTCAGCAACCACTCTCTGCTGGAATCTTTAAAAAGTGTTATAGCAGGAGGGAAGCATCTTGATGGGAATCTGCCAGAAAATCTTTGAAATCTTCCCTGTCTGCAGTGAACCACATGCTGTTGCAGCCTGGGGCTACCCAGTGAATACAGTCATTAGTTAACCACCAGATTGGCTATTTAAAGCCCGACCTATCCCTCACTGCTGGCCAACAGGGCCTATTTGACTTGGAAAAATCCAATAAGGAAAGAGT